GATGGGTTTGCTGGACTCCTGTCGTGCCCTGTACTCAGCTATTGTGAGGGGGCGAGGTCCATCGTTGGGACACAATTCGAGGGCCTCTTGTAAAGTTGGTGCGTCCCTTTGCTCAGCAGGAGCAGGTGCCTCCCACGACGGTGCAGAGGGCGGGCTGCCTTCCGCACTCATATGCTTCCTTCGTTGGTGTAGTCGGCGGTATGCCTACCACACTTCAGTTTCCATCGTTGGTGCAGAAGGATTTGCCATTCCTTCCACACATGTTCTGGTCAATTTCCCTCTTTTTTTTTGTCGATTTTGTTGTTTGTTGTTGTGGTTTTTTTTTTTTTGTAGTCCAGGCCTTTTGGGCGCAGGCGGCGCCGGTGCTGGTCATCTCACAGGCTGATTAATGCATATTTTTTTTTTTTTTTGGTTTTGTTTTATTGTTTCTGTTGTCCGGGCCTTTTGGACTCAGGCGGCGCCGGTGCTGGTCATCGCACAGACTAATTACTGTTTTTATTTTTTTTATCTGGCTGGAGATTTCGATTTACGATTTTCGAGGGCGGCTCTGAAGAGCCTAACTTTGGACAGCCGAGGATTAGGGATCGGCTTGCATCGTCCACATTGGACGGCCACACTTGTTAAGCACTGGCTCAATTAGCCAAATTCGCCGATTTACGCATTATGGTGCCAAAATAACGAAAATTTCACAGCGCACAGAGACAAAAATTAACCAGTCTCACTTCCTTCTCGCGCACATGTCACGGTCGCCATGTAATGTTGGTTGTATGTATATTTATAAACACAAGAAAAAGAGTGCACTGTAATGTTATAATTTATATTGGGCTTTATTATTCCGTCCGTTTGGATCGGGACTCATTTTTAGAATGCTCACTTAAGACTATTGTTGGCTTGGCTTACAATTCATATAGCTGCACAAGCAGCGCCGCGGCCAACGCTTATGTATCTCAATATATATGTTAATGTATACGTAAGTGTATTTAGGCGGCGCAAGCAGCGGCCGCGCATGAGAGGGAGAGTGTTATGCTCACATGGTAACCGAATGGTCGGCCGCGCATGCAGACATGCCGACTCAGCATTTAGGATGTGCATAACATTGTTGTGTGGGTCGAATTGCTTTGCACTTGAAGTGCTGGGAATATTCGGACATAAACAAATGCTACAATGTTATAGTGATATAAGCGGTACAGTGTGTACCCAATATATGAGCATACTACACCACAGTCCGTACGGCCTCTGGAGAGGATCGGTCAATTATAGGACGGGTCAAGTTACCGGTGGAATACCGAGGACGGACAGAGCACATTCTCTTCTACTTGTGTCCTTACCTGGAGCAGCCAGCTTATTTTGGAGTTGATTTTTGGCAAGCATTCGGACTGGCCCCAGCGATTATAGGCCACATCGATTCGGAAGGCGTGAAGAAGGCCGAAGAATTACACGCCAGGGAGATGGAACACTACGCGGAAGTCGAGGATGACGATGAGGAGAAACCTGATCCCGAGTCCTGGACGCTTTCCAAGGCCGAGGAACAAGAGCTGGAGGAGATCAAGCAGCAGTTCTTGACTTTCGAGAGGGATGGCTTAGGTACCACCAGTCTGGAGAAACACACTATTGAGCTGATGGACGGAGCCAAAGTGTTCAAGGATCGACCCTATCCGATGTCTCCCGCGAAGCAGAAGGTGGTCGAGGACGAGGTCGACAAGATGCTAGCGCTCGGAGTCATCGAGGAGAGCAAAAGCCCCTGGAGTAACCGCACCACTGTAGTGTCAAGATCTGGAAAACACCGGTTCTGCTTAGACGCACGTAAGCTTAATGATGTGACCATCAAAGATGCTTACCCGTTGCCCAGCATAGACGGCATCCTGTCCAGAATTGAGCAAACATACTACATTTCCAGCGTGGATTTGAAGTTCGCTTTTTGGCAGATTGAGTTGGACACGAGCAGCAAGGAATACACAGCCTTTACGGTTCCTGGTCGGCCTCTTTACCAGTTCCGCGTGATGCCTTTCGGACTCTGCAACGCATCACAGAGGCTGGTGAGACTCATGGACCGAGTAATTCCTGCTGAAATCCGCTCAAATGTGTTCGTCTACTTGGATGATCTGCTAATACTAGCGCCCGACATAAGAACGCACTTGAAGTATCTTCGCCGAGTCGCTGAATGCCTGAAGGAAGCAGGGTTAACCATTGGGCTGAGCAAGTCGAAGTTTTGCTTCAAGTCTTTGACCTACCTCGGCTTCATAGTGGGTGGAGGACGTCTGCGGATGGATCCAGGGCGTGTAGCAGCTATTAGGCGGATGCCTGAGCCAAGGACCATGAAGGAAGTGAGAGCCTTTCTTGGGACCGCTGGTTGGTACCGTCGGTTCATAAAGAACTTCGCAACTTTGGCTGCCCCGCTCACGGAATCCTTGAAGAAGACGGGAAATAAGAAGTTTTCCTTGAGTCCAGAAGCACAGCTGGCAGTAGAGTCCCTGAAGATGGCCCTAACTACTGCGCCAGTGCTGGTACATGCGGACTTCAAGCGGCACTTTTTCATCCAGTGCGATGCATCCCAGATCGGAGTCGGTGCAGTGTTGTTCCAGCGGGATGAAGACGGCCAGGAACAACCAATAGCGTTCTTCTCGGCCAAGATGAATCGTCACCAAGTCCATTACACCGTTACTGAAAAGGAATGCCTCGCAGCCCTGCTGGCCATTCGAAAGTTCCGGCCGTATGTGGAAGGAATGCCGTTCACGTGCATCACCGATCATGCCAGCTTGAAGTGGCTCATGTCCATGAAAGATCTTTCGGGTCGGCTGGCTCGGTGGTCATTGCAACTCCAGGGATATGACTTCAACATCGAACACAGGAAAGGAAGCGAGAACGTTGTGGCAGATACCCTTTCGCGTTGTGTTGAAGAGCTAACGGTGGACCCGTCAGAGTTGCTCGGCTTCGAGACCATTGAGTTTGCTGAAGAAGAGTACACGGAATTGCTACAAGAGGTGGAAAAAAACTTGGCCAACCTACCTGACTTGAGGATAGTGGATGGTCTCATCTTCAAGAGAGTCTTTTCGGCAAATCTGGATGACGAGGTGGAAGGCTTCGAATGGAAGTTGTGGATTCCCCAGAGTCTGACCCACAGCATAATTGAGCGTGCACATTCGGATCCAACGGCAGCTCATGGCGGAATGGGAAAAACTCTGGAAAACCTACGGCGGCAGTTTTACTGGCCTGGCATGGCACTGCAAGTCCGGGAGTTCATACGCAGGTGTGAAGTGTGCAAGGAGACGAAATCCCCGAATTTCCGGATGCAAGTTGGTATCGGTGAGAGAGTCCAGACTGAGCAGCCATTCCAGAAGCTGTACATCGATTTCCTGGGGAAGTATCCGAGGTCGAAGAAGGGACAGGCCTACATCTTCATTGTGGTGGATCACTTCTCCAAATACACATTTCTGAAGGCCATGCAAGAGGCATCGGCCTCCAATGTAGTGGAGTTCCTCATTCACGAGGTGTTCTACAAGTTTGGGGTTCCAGAAATTGTGCATTCGGACAACCGCCGCCAGTTTACGTCCAAGATCTTCGAGGAGGCGATGGAGAGCTTTGGCATCACGCACATCAAAACGCCAGTCCACTCTCCGCAAAGCAACGCAGCGGAAAGGGTGAACCAAAGCGTGTTGGCGGCGATCCGAAGTTACTTAGAAGAAGACCATCGAGAATGGGACGCGTATCTTCCGGAGATTGAGGTGGCCCTCCGCAACGCGGTTCATTCAGCAACTGGAGAAGCTCCGTTCTTCACCGTATTCGGACGACACATGTTCCTGAACGGAGCCAGCTACAAGTTGGCAAGGAAGTTGAAGTCGCTGTGTGATCACGAAATGTCTGGGATGAGACTCCAAGTGATTCATGACAAGGTGCAGAAGAACCTCGAAGATGCATACGATCGGAGTCGCCTGCGGTACGACAAAAGGGCTCGTACTTTCCTTGCGAAGCCAGGTCAGGAAGTGTATCGCCGCAACTTTGCCCCCAGCGATTTCAAAAAGGCCTTCAATGCAAAGTTTGCTCGGAAGTTCCTAAAAGCTCGGGTGGTCAGGACAGTCGGCAATAATGCGTACGAGCTTGAAGATCTTCAAGGACGACCGATCGGAGTGTACCATGCCAAGGACATTAGGTTGTGATCTGGAAAGAGGAATAACAAAGTACACGAGCTCAGAATCGGCATGTGTCTACTTCCCGTAAAGCGTGGGCCCCGCGTTGGACACCGTTGGAACTGCATCATGGTATCGAGGCCGGCTGAATCCGAATAGTCCAAATCCAAATGCTCCCAAGTATTCCTGCGCTTGTCTAAAACTCTGTGTTAGCGTCTCTCGGAATCCAGGGTGGTGTTGCATTTTCAGTTGAAGCCGTCTGGAAAATACTGAAACGAGCCGATACGTCAGCAGGTCCCGCTATCGATAAGATTTGGTGGTGACACCGACTATTGATAGCGGGAGAGGATCTAGCTATTTAAATTTAGCCCGGTTCGCTCGTTAACTGGGTTAGATGGCCTTGAATACGTTCGCTGACCCATCTTGAGAGAGCGGGAGGGAAAATGGCGAGCGACTTTGGTGTAGGTCAGGGTTTTGCTTTAGTTGCTGCAAGAAGTAGTAGGAGAACGGTCGGAAAAAAACCCAAAAATTTAAATTCGTGATTAGTGTTTGAATAACTCAAAGTGAGTGTTTATTTATTAGTCCGGAACTTGTAAATTACAGTGTTTTTTTTTTTATATTGAAGCCGACGGGGACCCTAACTAAAGGGCCCCGGAAATTTAAACATTTGGGAGTGAAATCTTACCAGGCGGACCTAACCTGGTCGTCGACCACCTGCCGCAGCAGCATCAGCAGCAGCAACATCAGCCGCAGCAGCATCAGCAGCAGCAACATCAGCAGCAGCAACATCGGCCGCAGCAGCATAAGTCGCAGCAGCATTAGCCGCCGCAGCGTCAGCCGCAGCAGCAGCGATCAGTAGCAACAGCAGCAGCCCCAAGCGCCAGCAGCTACAGCGACTGCCGCCAAGACGGCCAGATACGGAGATTCCCTCGGTGAGTCCGTTCCGGGAACGAATGCCCGCGCTGGCCACGTGGTCATCTCCGAGTCCACCGACGCACTGCTTCCGGCCACGCTACGCTATCCTCCGGACCAATCGGCTCCGTGCGGAGTCGCGCTGGCCTTCGCCATCAGCGTTTTTTCCTGCTGCAGTTTCAACACATGCGACGTTGAACTCTGAAAAAATTAGTTTTAGTTGTTGTTTTTGTGATATTATGCAGTCAAGATTGTAAAGTACTTACTGTGAAATCTGATCTAAATTTAGAGGCTCAAGCCCGAACCCTGGCCGCGCGTCCAACTATATCTAAATTGGGTCGCGAAATTTAATAACTTGTGGGATTTGTTTAGCGTACTTACCTTGTCAGCACGTCCCTTCTTTTCCCTTGGAGCTCCTCAGGATTAGGCGACCCGGTTGGCAAACGCCTCCAATTTAGTGCCGAGTGGCGAGTTTGCCTGACACTTTGAACTCTAAGCGTCTAAAAATTTCCCTTTCAGTTGTTGCCGCTTTGACCGCTTCTCATCTGGGCGACGGTCTGAGATCGGCCTTGAGAGTTTCTAACGAAAGGAATAGATTATCAGTAGGAATCAATAATGAATGTATTTACTTATTAATCTCACCAAGAATTAAATGTAAACAAGCCACCGAAATGGTTGTGTGAGTTACCTTGGGCGGGGAGATGAGCCGATCCTAATCCACCAGGAATAGACTCCGGTCTGCCGGAGATGGGGTGTGCCTCCCACATCTCTCTTGGGGCACCCAAGGTTGGGTGGGTGCGTCGTGGCAAGGACATCGAAGCCACCAATTTCGTCGAATTGTCTTAGTTGCTTAATGTAAACATAGTTTTGTTTTGTTTTGATTTGTGCTAGAGACGGTAAATCGACGTGAGACGTCCGATGAGTCGGAATCGATTGTTCGGACTGCAGGGCATAGGGGGTACTCCGCCCTGGGACTCCGTGGCTAGCCGGCGCTGCCCTCCGGGAAAGATGCAGTTCCGTAACAATCAATTAAAAAGTTATTCATTATTTGTACATGAAATTCAAAACTTTTATGGTTAGAATTGACTGATTTATTTATTCCTTATTTGCAAAAAACTGAGCAAGTCGGTTTTCACAATCCTCTCTTGTGGCTAACTTTACACTATCCAAATCGTTCGACATTGATAGGAAAAGGTGGTAGTAACTTGCTGCGATGTCCGGGCTATAACCAAAAGAACATTTTGACGTGTGTGGTCTAGCGTTATCCTGATGGAAAACAATTCCTTTCCTTCAGTACAAAACCGATTTAAGTGTTTGGCCATAGCAGTTCATAGTAGATTTGTAGAAGTCCTTGCCAATTCCACCAAACACACAGCAAAACCTTTCTGGCCGTCAATCCTGGCTTAGCCACCGCCTGGGCCGGCTCATCCTTCTTTGACCACGACCGTTTTCGCCTCACGTTGTCGTAAGTGACCCAATTTTCATTACCAGTCACCATCCGCTTCAAAAACGGGTCGGTTTTATCGCGACCTTTTCCTCCGAATTTCGATCTGCTAATCGGTGCTAAAGATTAGCAGATCGAAATTCGATCCAAGTTTTATTTTTTTTTTACTCTATGAAGTTACCAAGGTCAGCCATTAGAAATTCTAATCGGTAGGGAAACCAGACCCTTCGGCCTATTTCCAATAGGTGAAGAAGAGGATAATCTTATTGATAGAGAGTATTCTCTAAGAAAACAAGCTAAGGAAACCATGTAAGTTAATGCTCGTTACGACAAACGTAGGTTTGAGAAGAACAAAGCAAAAATAATAAAACATAACGTAGACCATGTTTTGTCAAAAACGAAGAGCGTCACCAAACTAAACTTGACTCAACATTAAAGGATCCATTTGATATGATATAACTACTAGATTAAGATAGGTACATTTTTAAATCATTAAAGAGCATTGTCAAATAGACGAATAAGTGAAGAAGTTGATTAAAATTTCGACGACTCGAGAGGAGCTCCGTCTGATTTCCAAGTGAGAAATAAAGGATGGCAGGATGCTTTTGAATCCTCAGAGAGGCAATAATGTCCGCACCATAAGGATGGCGGTGGTGACCGCACCATAACAGAAATGGAAATAGACCAGGTGATAAAGCTTATTAGCGTAGTTTGAATTATTAAGTATGGTTAAGAAAATGTAATGAAAAGAATGTATTATATGTTATTAGGAAATCATTTTGCTTATTTTTGTCTATATGCTGAGTTTGTAAACAATAAAAATCAACAACTGAGAATATTTTCAGAAAGGCCGTGTCTGAGTTAGTACATGTTCTTGGTAGAATAGTGTGCAGCGAAAATGTAGGCAAAAAGCATTAATGTTTTGTAGGCAAGTGCATTGGCCAGAACGGCATTTAAAATCAGCGTCGCGTAGGCGATATATATTTTGAATACATACATATGTACATATGTAATATATAACAATGTAAAATGATTATATACAATCTTTATAAATGTTGATTTAAATGATTTGGGACGCGATCATAAAAAGTGGAATATAAATGGATCGGGAACATTTAGTAGACAACATTGTATTATTGTACTCCATTTTTATGGTTTTTTTGGGGTTTTCCGTCCATTTTTTGATCCGACATATCTATGACCTACCAACTTCAAACTCAATGGATTTAATTTTGTTTTCTTTACGCAGGGGCCTGGTGTACGTTCACCCAGAGAAATCTTGCAAGGCTTTGCAATTTTCTGGTGCATTTTTCGTCCATCCGAGTACGCCGGTTATTTCCAACTCACTATCTCTCCTAGCTGGCGGATTTCGTCGACCTGAGTACTAGCTTAACTGTCAATCAGTGAGCTGGTAGGCAAACAGTAATTACCAAGCCATCTTATACGGAAAATCGGTAAAAATTCCTAATATTTTCTGACGCAAACACTTTGACCCAATTTACAACATTGATCTATAACATTTATTAGTTTAACAAGGATTACTTTAACATAAAAATTAATATGTAAAAATGATACTTTTTAAAATTGAATCGTAGAGATGTGCAGAGGGGTTCAGACTCCATAAAATATGACGATTTTCACTATTTCTCCCGTTTTTGTTTACTAAAAATGCAAAATTAATAATTTTATTAAAATTTAACCTGATAAAAATTAAATTTAAAAAGGATTGCATCATAACTAATCACTTCGATATCTTAAAATTAGTTTTGAAAATATAGGTCATCTTATTTTATATTACTTTCTAGCCATAGCAAAGCCTAGTCCCAATATTCCACCTAGTACAAGGGCTGCTCCACCAGCGACAGCCATACCCTTGGCCACTTCAAGGTCACTTTGTTTTTGAATGTATTGCTGAAATTCACATTTTTAAAATACATTATTTGTTAGAATGCATTTTTATATGTATTTACACATAAATTAACTTACCTCAAGGGAACGCACTTGATCATTTGATTCAATATCCAGAAAAGCTCTGCAGTACTTCAACCCAGAAGTATACTCCTTTATACGAGCATTCCCAAATGCAAGATAATAAATATAGTCACGCCTTCCATCTGGATGGGTACGTGCCAACTCTTCCAATATCATAATTCCCTGTTGTTAATAAAATAGTAATAGATTTACATTTCTATGGCTCACTGATTAAGTCACCTTTCTAATGTCGTTTGTATAACGACTACGAACCAGACAAAATGCGTACCTGTCGTGTAATAAAGAAAAAAGTTTTACACGTTTATTTAAAATTGAAATATAAGTAATGAACTAATTCATATCTAAATAAAATTTACGTACTCAAATTTGGTTTCTGTGGTAACTTCCCCGTCCAACTCAAGCTCGTGATGATATTTTTTTTCAAACCTCTGCAATGTTCGAACGTTCATATGCACTTAATTAGCTGGGCCGGCGATAAACATTTTTTTAAGTGGGTAGTTAGAAAGACACTAGGGGGTGGGATAGCTTTCATGGATGATGTTTTACAGTTCCGAGTGGGAACTACTAAACATACTACAAACGTCCACCACCGGCCTTGCTCTTTAGTTTTATATTAGCCAAGACCTCAACTCAATCAGTACCTCTAAATCCTCTTGTGGTACCACTTCGTTCAAAAGCTCATCCATTGTCATATATTTTTAATTTAATCAACTCAGTGTTTTAGTTGGTAACTGTATGTTGAAAAGTGACCGTTGATCATTAAAATCGCAAAGCATGCAAGCAAGTACATATATACAAATTAATTTCAATCAAAATAACGACGGTCAGCTAGCGTCAAAATTGGAACGGCGAAAAACTGACCATGGAGGGGCTTTATAATATTTACCTTTTGGCGCCAATGCGAAAGTGATCTCATGAAATCTCATGAACAACAAATTTTGATGTGCGTATTGGTGAACAATGGTATGTGGAACACTGGGGTTTATTTAGTTTTTTAATTTCTCGTGGTTTAAAAATTGTAAATGCAAAGATATTAAGAAATGAAATATTTAACATATATATGTGATTTAAGAATATTAGAAGTCTGCAAGTATTTTAAATATGCATTTTAAAAATCTATCCCCAAAGAGGTTGTTTCAATATGCACGCTAAACCACACTATTCAGCGTTAATTCACTTTTGACATGTTAACCTCTGATTTTTCCCATACAAAAATTTAAGACGTTATTCACTTTTGTTCTCTTTCTCCAAAGTAACGGAGAATGCTTTCAATGCAGAAAGAATATACTGAGATCTAATGAGAGAGCGTGAAAGTTGGCACAACCTCTATGAAAGTCTTATTAATTGACACATCGTCTGTGAAAGCCGTACTAATTAAGTAATGTTAGCGTTAAAAATGTTCCGTATTCATAAAAACAATTTATTTCTGAGACATCTATCGGTTTAATGGACTTGTAATAAATGTATGTATAAATAGGTCAAAATTGAGCCCCTTCTAATGAGAATGCGTGCATGTTGGCACAACGTTTATGAAAGTAGTGTTACTTAAAATAAAAGTTAGCGTGAAAATTGTGCGTTTAATGTTTCGGGTAATAAAGCTCTCAGCAGGCGTGGCCAGTGTTACCACATGGAAAAACAGCACGTTTGAAAAAACTTGATTATCAAGAAATTAAACGGTTTATATAGCTTGTAAAAAATATGTTAAGTACTTTAATAAATTACCAATTACTAATGAGAATGCGTGCAAGTTGGCACAAACTCTATTAAAAAAACCAAAAGTTAGCGTCGAAAATGACTATTTTCATTTGGTTGATGTCATGGATGGAAATGCACAGTGCGGTTCGTGTCTTGGTATCCAGTGATTCTGATTTTGGTGTGAGCGCCTCCTTTTTTAACGGTTTCATTAGCTTGAGATTTTTCACGAAATGTGCATGTTGGCACAATCTCTACAAGTAATTTGTAATTTAATTTTGGTGGTTTTTGATTTTTCAAATGCATATTTCATATTTCATTTCTTATTATTTTTGCATTAACATTTTACGTGCCTAAATAACTAGAAAATTAAAAAATAAAAACAGCCTCGTGTTCCATATTTCATTGTTCCCCGATCGACGACAATTTTTTTTTCTATTTTATTGAGGGGATGCACCACATTTGTTTGCGAAAGCAAAAAGCAAGACCAGAGCCGCGAACCTCAGGAAAGTTAAATGTCGCAGTACCCGGCAAGTTCGTGCGCATTTGACCTTCTTGAGTATAACCTCTAGTTAAAGAAACTTTTTTGTAAAGTGGGGGCCACTTATATGTGCAAGTCTGGGTCGGGTCTGTCGAACCTGATTGCGACAAAAATAGTCGTTTGCTGGAAAAATATTAAACTTACAACAAAATCAAAAGATTAAGGACTACATATGTATTTGAGAATTCCCTAAACGGCTGAATCTTTGAATTGCTGAAAATGTTTTTAAAGCAATTGAACAACAAAGTTTTCAGCGGCCTCACTGTTGCGAGTTGCTGAAACTTCAGCAACTCATATTGCTCATAGCTTTGTGAATTTCCTAAAAAAATGTGTTTAATTAGAAAACTGCAAGTAGTTGCATATATATATATATATATAAAATAATGTCCTAAATTATTTCCAAATTGTGTTTACAAAATTTATAATTTATTTTTTTATTTGGATATATTTCGTCTGGAAAAATTTGTGCTTTAGCCCATTACTCAGATTGAAAAAGAGTTTCTGTAGCGGAAAATCTTTATTCTTACTAGTGTGATCGAAGTTTTGGGAACTCATTGCAACTGTGTGTGGGTTTTTTCAAATATATCCCGCAAAATTTAACGATGCTATATTTTGGGGCGTATTCAACAATAGGGGCATCAAAATTATTCGGTAATATTTTTCTGAGTTTTTTGAGGCTGTCCGTCCATTTTTTGATCCCAGAAATACTCTGCCCTGGCCACTCCAACCTCAAAAAATCTGGCAACGAAATTTATTTTTATCTGTTATTTTCGCCGATCTGAGTACCGGGACGTTACAAAGTCCGTCAAATTTTAACGGCGGACTAACTGGGAAGTTTTTGGAACGGCAAAACCTTATAGACCATCTCTTCAACGGATGTTGGAAGGTGGATGGATTTATGTGGAAATACGCTATTAAGTTTAATTTTTCAAACTGTTTTAGAATAAATTGTTCCTGCTTCTATTATGTTATAATGCTTTGGATTTGTGGTTAAATGTTTTCTGAACTATCTGTAGTTTGTATTCAAATTGGTGCCTGAGGGAGCTTAAACGTCTTAAGCTTCCACTTCTCTTTCAACAACGCCTCTGGTTTACAGATGGCCACCATGTCAATTCAAATTTTTTCGCGCCCAGACCTTAGAGTTGCACCAAAAACAAACATCGGCTAAATATCAACTATGTATAAACAGAACAAACGAAAACAAGTACGAGCTTGTTACGCGCGGGCCCTATTAGCATAGTGGGCAGTTATCGAGTTCGCGAGAGAGACATTTATAAAAAAACTAAAACTAAGTATGATGCACATAGAGTATGTTAAAAATGTAGTTTTTAAGACAGGTTGAAATGCAAAATTGATTATATGGATTATTATAATTATAACACAGAAAGGGTTCCGCGGTGAGTTTCTGCAGTTGAACTGCTCGCTCTCATTGCTAATGGCTGGTGCGAGCAGTGCAGTTGCAAGTTCGCCGCGGGAAAGAATTGCAAGTTCGAACCAAAAACTGAAAAGTGGAGTGGAAATCAAGTTTAGATTCGAAATTGGCTCTCAGCAGAGTTTGTGCAGAGGTCGGGCAGAGCAAATGGTGCCTCTATACATTTCTTACTCTATGGTGTTCACACATGAACACGAATACATAACATATAAATCATGTTTTAGTTGTGCAGCCTCGCACTGTCCCTCGCCGCTGTCCGTGAGGGTGAAGAGTTGCGATCCAATTGCCACCGTGGCTGGTCCGGGGGAAGGGGTGAAGACGTAATTGCCACCGTGGCTGGCTGCTCATATGAATGTGCCGGGCGGTTGCCAATGGCTCTCTTCTCTCTTCTTACGAAGACTACGTTGGGAGTAACTGACTCCGTTGCTAACGGCCCTTAAGGCTCGGTAACCAATTTCAATTAATAGAATAAGTCTTGACGGCCTCTGCCGGAGTTTTACATTCAAGCCAATGCTCTTTATTAAATGTCCAAATTAAAACTGAAAACATATAGGACTTTACGTAAGCTATGCGCGGCCGGCAAGCCGACCGCTCGTGCAGCAAAGTGCTGACAGTAGCAAAATCAACATAACTCACCATACCGTGCACCACCAAGAACCAGGCACGGCCCCTAAAGATGTTTGTGCTGATTTTGCAACTAAACACTAGGGTGATCCAATAATTACCCAAGATCTGTATCGACTTATGATTACTCCTTAACAGTGTTAACAACTCTCCCCTTAGGAATATAACCGTCCTCGGTCATCTGAAATTTGTCAACGGCTTGTTGGATCTCTCGTGCGTCTCGTCTCCTCCTCAGCATCATGATGAGTAGGAAGGAGCAGCTGATGAGAAGATTGGCTCCCAAGCCGACTGCGAACCAGTTGTCGATAGTTCCAGCCGATTTTACTTCCTCCTTAAGCCCTTGGATAACCTCCAAGTTTTGGTTGTTAATTCTTTGGAGAAGTGGCATGCTTAGTGTGTGATCGTGGCCGATGATATTGAGTAACGGGAATGCCGCCATGCCCGGAGTTTTTCTTATGGCTTTACGTTGGTTCGAGTATTTGGTGCCATTAATGAAAGCCACTCGCTCGAACGTAATGAGGTGTGAGCCGTTGGTGGCTATTTCAGGGCCGTCATCAGTGCTGACTTTAGTTGGGCATTCATTGATTATTATTACTCCGTCATCTATTAACGTGATGGGGCTTAGGTGGCTGGCTTGCGTCTCGCATAGTGCGGTACTCCCCGCGTGTAGGCCTCGAGCACAAGTATCATGGGTCGCCAGCTTTCAAAACGTCGCGTAAGTTGTTGTTACGCAATCGGTGACTGCTAAGACGTCGCTATTGCATTCGGCTACTGTGTTCTCCTTCCATGTATTATACATGTATTATACTATCGGACTGAAGGACTCTAATGTTAGACGCCTCTAGTAGGCTAATGATGGGGACTTCTGTGGGGTGATCAACAAATACAGACTTCAAATCATTTTGATTAAAAATTGCTGGGTTTATGATGTTGGCTTTTGCAAGTGTGCCTGTAAGCATTACGTTTTGAATCTCAGTTATTAGTATTCTGTTTCAGGCCAAAAGTACTTCGTACAGGTGGGAAGTGTCAACTATATTATTTGGTTTTGCCTTGATAATTTTATTAACGGCCTCTGTTAATTCATTAATTTTATTCTGCGTCTGCGTATTTATTATAGCCTGCCGGTTATTTGACTCAATTAAACGTGCCTCGGACATTTTTAGCATATCGAAGTCGGCCGCATCAGGTGTGCCCCCAATTACTTTGAGTGCGGTGCCTAGGAAGTCTAGGCTCCTGGCCATCCTGTGGTGTATTTTTTTAGAACAGACAATAAACTTCTAACATGTTCGGTATCGACGTGTAACAATTTTTTCATATGAGACTATGGGAATAAATCGGACAACCTAGTAGTTTCTTCTATTATACTTGAAAATTCGGACAAATTACTTGAGTGTCGAAGCAAGCTTCTCTCTTTCCATACCAACGCAATTCCGTCCGTAATTGGGATATACTGCGCATGCGAATAATCCGTCACCCTAGCGCT